GCGGAGTATCTGGGGAGCTGGAAGATGAGAACTGGCGACTTTGTAGTGCAACTTTAGTACGCGGAGCAATCTGTGGAGCTGGAAGCTGAAAACTGGCGACTTTGTAGTACAACTTGAACACGCGGAGTCTCTGGGGAGCTGGAAGATGAGAACTGGCAACTTTGTAGTACAACTTTAGTACGCGGAGCAATCTGTGGAGCTGGAAGCTGAGAACTGGCGACTTTGTAGTAACTTTAGTACGCGGAGTATCTGGGGAGCTGGAAGATGAGAACTGGCGAAGTTGTAGTACAACTTTAGTACGCGGAGTATATGGGGAGCTGGAAGATGAGAACTGGCGACTTTGTAGTACAACTGTAGTACGCGGAGTATCTGGGGAGCTGGAAGATGAGAACTGGCGACTTTGTAGTACAACTTTTTAGTACGCGGAGTATCCGGGGAGCTGGAAGATGAGAACTGGCGACTTCGTAGTACAACTTCAGTACGCGGAGCAATCTGTGGAGCTGGAAGCTGAGAATTGGCGACTTTGTAGTACAACTTTAGTACGCGGATGAGTCATCTCTCGCGGCTGAGTCATCTCTCGCGGCTGCTCTGGCGCCCCTGCAGCTGAGTCATGTCTCCCGACCACCCGGCTTTCTTGAGAGGTTAACACACACACACAGAGACCCACGCACTGCCTCAACTTACTCGGACACACACACAGACAGAGACTCATACACACACACACACACACATAGATACACACACACACAGACCCACACACTGCCTCAACTCACTCGACTTAACACTTCACACTGAACACTTAACAGATAACTCACACTCTGACTTCCTACGTGATGAAAAATGCTTTCGGGCCACTCGTCGTCTAGTGTGTTTTGCATCTTGGTGCGCGCGGCGAAACTGGAGGTCTTTCTCTGCTCATGACCCATCTGCTAATGCTAATGCAGGATCACAGAAGTTCAAGTTACCCAGCTGCTTGGCTGCCAGGCTGTGCAACTTACCCCTTCACAGCTATTCCCTGAAGTTCATGACTCTCTTCCTGCATCCAGTTTGTGTTGCAGTCATCATTGTGGTCTAGCTATTGGTTGTGCTTGCACCTTGGATTAGGACACGGCTTAGCCGGCTTAGAGACTTTAGATTGAACACGTAAGCTCGGATTAGCTTAGCTCGGATTGGATTAGAAAAGCTTAGACATCATTTGGCTTGGCTTAGCTTACAACTAAGCCAAACATGACTTTGCATCGTATTACCTCCAGTCTTCAAACCATCACCTCAACTTGGGTCCCCCAAGAAGGATCTTCGTCCAGTCTCCATCAGCTTGGGCACCACTTGGCTAGCTGGACCAGAACGGCCCTTGTACGGAGACTGCCTCTTCAAGAGGGAACCGCTCTCCATACGAGGGTTTCTGGGCCAGAAGTTCCTGCCCTTGACAATCTCTGGACAAAAACGAAAAAGAAGTTGTGCAATGTCCCCACCACATTCAGAAATCTGGCAAGCTCAGAAGGTCATGCCTTCAAACTCCGAAGCCCCAGACCCCAGACCAAAACCAGTGAAGCCAGTGTTTTAAGTGGTTCCTTTCAGGTTATCCCGGGTGCAACAGAGAAAGCGTGCGTTACTAAGCAATGCCGGGAGTGCTCGTTGCCAAAGTATGAGATTCCCAAGGTCTCGCATCCAGAGGCTCCCTGGATGTGCGTCAAAATGTCACGAATGCCTCGTTCGTCGGAGCAGGAAAACCCACTTGGCGAACGACGCACCAAGCCATTCCCATTTGTGCGAGGGCCAACCTCCAGCAAAGCCTGTGAACATGTTGTTAATAGTCAATGGTGACAGTGGAAAGGTGAGCCTCCATTATATACAACAAAAGGTTGCGAAAACCATGGAAAACCACTTGTCTGTTCAACTACAGCACCCTTAATCCCACCTGATTGAAGGTACAAACGGTTATCTGCTCTCTTCCCCCGAAAAGGCCGAAGTCGGCTCAAGGTTCCGGTCAGGACCAGGTGGGGACCGACGTAGTTCTGGGATTCGCCACCAACCGGCCGTTAGTGCAGGCTTCTGACGTCTTCGCTTCGCACCCACCGTTCCAAGCAATAGATGCTTACGCGACTCTGGATGGCCATTAATTACCTTATATACTGGCTTGAAACAACACGAAAACGAAAACTGATGCCTGCCTGACAAAACACCAACTTTCAAAGTCAATGATTTCACTTGTCGACAAAAAACAAGAAGACACCATGAATGCATTGAGTAGCCTTGCTCTTCGGTTGCCCCACCTTCGACCCTCCCCTCCCCGCCTCCACCGGGGAAGCTAAAGACCCTCACGTGGGCGCCCAGTGCATCGCGCAAGGCCGTCTCGATCTTGCTGGGCTTCCCGTTGCCCTTCTTGGTGTAAAGCGAGGAATCGCCCACCAAGCAGAACTCCAGCTGCGTCTCCATGGAAAACCGCAAGGAAGGAACCACACACGAGAAACTATAGTAAAAAAAACGTGGCCCTTTTCAGCAGACGTCCTAGCAACGTCAGCCCCTGGAGCTGCGAAGAAGTCCCCATTTCAATCGTTGTTTATGTGGGATTCCACGCCTCACAGCGGTTTCGGTGGTGGTGAAAAAGACAGGTGTCCAAATCGCGGCTTTCGACCCTTGGTTTCGGGTTTTTCCATATTTCTCAGTCGGGACCCACCCAGGAAGATCCCGTTGAGTCTGAGGACCTTACTGTTCGTCCGACCTCACAGTGAGCGCCGAATGGTTGCAGAGGTTGGGCAAGGAAACTTGGGCGCAAGAGGTCCAAGAAGGCTTCTGGAAGGTCTAGACCCTAGGGGCCAGCCGGTTACCGGGGTCAAAGCCTCCCTCAATTGATCACTTGCGTGTGACTCTGCCTGTCAGCAGCCGGATCAACCTCCAGCTCTTCTGGAGAGGCCGCTTGAGCAAAAGAAACCGAGTTGCATAGCCAGTTTCACAGCAAAAACACCATGAAACACCTTATGTTTGCAACTACAAAGTTGGGACAAACATCCCAACCAAATGTCAAGGCGAATGAAATGACCCCATACGAGTGAAAAAGACTCCTTTTGTCCAAATCCGGTTTGCCTCGTGTCACCGTCTTCGTGTCTTCATTTGGTTGTGGTTCGTTGGGCATATCGGATCCCCTTTAGTTTGGCAGGAATGGCCGGTTCTTGCACGTGTTGGTTTTGGTTGATTAAAGTTCACCATCACCATCAGCAATGCAGCTGCTGAATATGCAAAATGTTGGTTGCAGTCTCGGGATCTTCATGGGAAGACACCCAGGGTCCTTGCAGCTGCACCGATGAATTCATGGTTGGGACTCTGCGCCTCGTGTGAAGATGGTCAGGCGACTTCGCGGAATACGAAAAACACAGTTGTGCAGGTGCGCAGGTTTGTTCACAGTTTCACACAGGTTGCACGACTTTCTTGTTTAAGTATTCAGTATTCACAAAGGTGTCTTGCCTAGTGCCGCTGATGTGCTCTCGATTTTAACAGTAATGTTCAAAATGTAGTTTCTGGCCATCATATGCAAAAATATGCAAAAATACATGTAAATTGGTTGATGCACAATGTACAGGATGATGGGCACTGCTACCAGAATGGTAACTGTCCCAAATTTGCTCATGGACAACAGAGGGAGCTCTTGGCGGATTGATGCCGGCATGTTTCATCCAAATGTCATCCGGGTTTCAAGCACAATTTGCGCAAAGTCTTTGGGGTATTCACGTAAGTCTTGTTTGATCCACTTTCAGCTGCAAAACGCGCCCTTCAAGTTCAAGTTGTGCTCATGGAAGTCTCATCGAACCAAAACATATTCTACACGCAACGCAACCCAAAGGAGCAGCAAAAGAGCAAACACGCACGGTGCCCGATTTGCTGATATCGCGCAATGCACAATGCTAAGAAAACTGGGTTGTGTCTTGTTGATGTCAAAAAAATATCCAGATTGATGATCCCTAAAACCCGAGTACAACACAATTACAATTGAAAATGTTGGATACTGTGCCAGACTTTTTGTGCGACACTGTTGTGGGACACTTGTATGCGACAACCTAACGGAATCAACACAGGTGAACGCAACGTTCGGGCGCATTTTTGTTCTTGAACCAAAGTCCCACGAAAGTCTTCTTTGTGGTCTTGGAACCTTTTGGGGTTACCAGGAGACAATTTGCTTTGCATTTTAGGGAACAGTCCTACATGCATAAAGTGACAAGGTTCCTTGGTATTCATCTGTTCTAAATCTTGGAGATACTTACAAACTTCCATTGGAGTTTTCTCTCTCCATCTGCCAGCCGCGTACCGTTCACTGTTCAAACCTAGTCTGTATGTAGTTCTTGAAGGTAGATCTCAAACCTTCACCAACGACTTGACTCTTTGAATCTGCAAGTTGAAGTCTCTTTTGGTATTCGGACGCAGTTCCGTTTCCTGCAGATCTACTTCGGAGGGAGCTTGCATAGAGAGCGAAGGGCTGGGGACGAACAATTGTAAGTATCTTGAACGAAATTGGCACGAACATGCAAGGTCACAAAACATAAGATATGAGGAAACACTGGTAACGTAACGTTGAGATATTCAACATGTTCCACTGTTTAAAGCTCAAGAAGTTCCGTCTCCATCTGCCAGCCGCGTACCTTGTCATTGGTTATACGTTGGACTTGCACCAATTCATCTATAATTCAAAGAGTTTATCATGTTCCAGCATTTTATATATGTTTTTCTTGCTGAAGAATATGTTCAAAATTTCATCTATCATGATCCCCTCATGGAACACGCACCGGACCCCCATGTTGGGGGGAAATCTCCTTGAAACATTCTAGACAACGCTAATCCTCAATCAGGAACTCAAGAACTAGTGGGAAACAGGTGGCATCAAGAGTGCAAGGCCTTTGAGGGTTAAGCACGCAAACAACCCAACAAGGTGTGGATGCGAGGGTCGAAAAACAGTTTTTACAAGTGAAATCCAACTTGAGTCAAAGTGTTACGTAAAAAGAAGATCCCCCATAGAACATTCGTGCACAAGTCCACAAAGCGCTATACGTTGGACGACGTTCATTTGTAAAACAAAATTGAAATGGGAGGGACGAAAACCAGGGGCGACCTTTGAAGATAGTGTTTCTCTGCCGGTGCTCATTTTTCTTCCCCAAAATCTTTTGACAAAACGATGAAACCGGGCACCATAAGAAAACGGTTCTTTGCTCATACCACACATTGCTTTCTGGGTTGAGATCTTTATATCCGTGACACGCCTGATTGAAAGTTGCCATCTTCAAATATCGTTTTTCAGAACATGCGCCTACATCGTTCCATACACACAACAGGACATTCTGCTTTCCACTTGAACATCGTCATGACCACTCGGTGATGCAAAAACTGGACTGTTGAAACTTTTTGGTTTCACTTTTATCACCAAGGCCGATTTTTGACCACCCCTTCTGTTTGTTCTCCCCCAGCAGGCCCTGGATCCACTTTTCCCGAAAGGGCCCACCATGCGACCCCCTCCCCCGTGGCAGGGAATGATTGGTATAATGCGACCCGCCCCCAATTAGCCAAGCGAATAGGCTCTACCATTCAACCAAGACATAGGATATGTTTAAACGACTAATGAGAAGTTACGACATATACAGTAGTTGAATAGGACTATGACTATGTTTATATTATATCTGTGTTTTTGGTCAAAACAATCAAACCCAATCAACAAAGATAATATATTCTAAACGTTGTTCACAATGATAATTGCCATCATACTGTCATATATCTACGTACATAAATGTGCATCATTTTTTGATATGCGTCACATACATACATACATACATACATAATATATCACACCATGTTTCTACGTGTTTTCATTCAACTGCAATGTCTAAACATGTTTAGCAACATGCTACACATGTATATATATATATACACATGCGTTGCCAATATCGCAAAAAACACATAAAACTATAGCAATTGGGATTGGAGAGAGTTCTGCACTTGGAATTGAAAAGAAAGCCGGAGGCGCGGCTATGCGTGAAAGAACACTTGGAGAGATGTGGAATTTGGCATGGCGTCAAATATATATATATATATATCGCATATGTATTTAGGCTGGAGGCCGCGTATTGCACATACATGGAATGCAAATTGTAATTGCGCCAACATAACAGGACATAGTTCATTTTAAACCGGCTATGTAGGACATGTAGGATATGCACTTGGTATATTCATATCACACCACACCTGATCCTAAAACCGGAAACCAAAAAAGAAATTGGCCAATATGCCCAGATCCTAGAACTAGGAAACCAATTTGGACACCATCTTCATCCTACAAAGGTTGGACTAGTTTGGCGTTCTTTTCTCTTTTGTGTGCATTGATGTTTGATGCGCTCAATCATTTGCAGCAATCTTATCTTGCGCCTGGATTGGCTCGGGTCGACCGCGCGGTTCAACATTTTGACGGACGTGCGTCAACGAGCGGCCCAGCAACCTCTGCTGCCACTTCCTGTCCATTGCGGTTTGACTTGCGCATCGCTTGCGGGGCGAACGCCAGGAGAATGGCCAAAACCGCATTGACCCCCTCGTGGTCTTGCAGCACCAGACGGTAGACCTTACCTGCCTGGCATCCAGAACTTGCAGACGCTGCCCAGCTCCCAAAGCGCTGCTGACTGTGATTCCCACACTGTCAACGAGGTAGAGGGTGAAAGTCTCAGCGATCGCCCCTCCTTCACAATGTAGATGATTCCTCCTCCAACGTGTCTGTCCCCAATCAAAACGATGTCCGGCTGCAAAACAGGGCCATGGCGATTCCAAGCTAAGAAACGTTGGGCAAGGGCATGCGCAGCATCCCAGAGCATGCCCAAGATGCTGCGCGGCCTTCTTTTTTTTTGCACGAGTCGAGGCGCTGTGTGTGCAGGATATGCACAAGTCACCTTAAGCTAGATAGATTGAGATACGAACCAAGCAGCAAGCCGAAACCAGACCAGCAAACCCCAAAGCAACAAAACAACCCCACCAAGGCCGGTGGCAAAGTTCGTTCCTCAGGATGGCTGAGGCTTTTTTGCCCGAAAAATTTGGTAAGAAGCATCTAGGCAGGGGGGTGCCTTAGCACTTGCCCGGGGTTAGGGTGATCCCCACTCAGAAGGAACCCAACCCTTAGGTATCGAGCAATCGGCGACAGAATTCATGTTCCTCTGCCTGGAGTTGTGAAAGGCCGACAGCACGTACTAATCATGAAGCACACCGTAGGGTGTTTCTGGCTCAACCAGCGACTTTGTCTAGCAGCCCACCCATGGAGCCCTCTAGTTCTTCCGATGTTAGCTCTCCCCAGGAATGTGAGCCGGTCATGGAGTGCCACCTAGCGCTGACAGCGAAAAACTCCGGGTAGCAACCTTACACGGTAGACTACCTACCTCCCCTGGATCTTTAGCTCACAACAGGCTCTCACACTCGTCCGGTACGGTACGAAACCTTTCCTTCAAACCTCCGAACACTTCGGAAAACTTCAAAC